CAAAATTTGATTCAAATCTCTCCAGCAATTTTTGTGTGATTTTATATATCGATTTGAAATTATCTAGATTTTATTTACTTATTTTATCAAGTAAAAATTTCAATGACTAAGAAATTAAATATGGCTGTTTACACACGGTTGACACAATAATATAGATTCACATATAAATTTAAAAATTCTTACCTCAATTAGGTCTACATCATTGAGAGACAATTTGGTGACCTTAAGTAAGTTCTCGATAGCGGGAACGGGTCCCAAACCCATGATACTAGGGTCTACTCCAACGTAAGACCACCCAACCAGCCTGGCGAGAGGTTTGAGGTTCTTAGCTGCCCCTTCACTGGCTAAGACCAAGGCACCAGCTCCGTCACTAATACCCTGAATATGTTATAAAAGGGGTCAACTTAGGGCTAAAAAAATGGCAGAGGGACCTGCCCCCAATGCATCTCAGCCTAATTAGAAAGGAGACTCCCATATGCCAAAACTGTATTGAATTTTGACATTTTAAATTCGTAGACCGCGCTAAGTCTGGACGTTGAATCCCCAAGTGATAGAAAAATACAGAAATTTAAAGAGACACAATTTAGATATTGTAATCTATGGTAGGGAATGATAATCATTTGTATGAGAAATCAGAACTATTTTATATATTTACTAGCTGACCCGGCAAACGTTGTTTTGCCATGTATATTATTTCTAGGATAATTTTTTTTAGTTCAATAAAAATAGCTATCTACAATAAATAAAAAATAGAGAGTGAGGGCTGAAAATTAGGGGTTATATGTATTTTCTATGCTGTATCATAAAAAAATAAAAACAAAATTCTAAAGAATAAAAAAAAGATTTTGGGGTGGACACCCCTTAACACTTAGGGGGTTGAAAGATAGATAGTAGCCGATTCTCAGACCTACTGAATATGCATATAAAATTTGATAAAAATCGGTCGAGCCGTTTCGGAGGAGTATGGTAACTAACATTGTGACACGAGAATTTTATATATATGATAAGATTGTTAAACTAATACGAAAAGCAAAAGAAATGGGAGAGTCAACTAAAATCAAAGATAAGAATGATGAAAGCTGTTGAGTTTTGTATGTCGCAGCAAACTAGATTAATTAGCCGTTTAATTAACAGCCTAGCCTTTTAACTAAACGGCGCCGTTTAACTAACGGCCTAAATGATATTCAGCCGTAGCGTTTGTTACAACATTTAATAAACTGACTGGCTAATGCTTAGGCCATTCGTACGATAAAGTCATTATTTGGCAGTAATAAAAAAGATAAACAATAAACAAAGATAAAAGATAAACATTAAATTGCTTAAGTCAAATTCACATTATTACTGTCACTACGCTCTTCCATTGTACTTGATGTTTTTTTATGAAATTTTGGAAAACACCATCAAAGTTGTGGTTTGCCGACGCCATATTGACAGTTTGAAGACTTTCTTTTCGAGTTTGAGAGTGGCAGAAAGTGGAATTTAATTTAAATTAACAATCAACAGGCTAGGCAAGTAATAAATCGTCATCGATCCAAGTCATTTGCCTAGCTGTTTAGTCAACTGGCTGAACATCTTTCAGGCCGCTAGTTAAACGGCTAGGCTGTTAATTGAACGGCTAATTAATCTAGTTGGCTGCGACATGTATATTTATACTACTCCACAAAAACCTATTTAGTCCTGAGTCCTTAAATCTTACCGAGGCTGATCCGGCAGTGACTAATCCTTCCTTTTTAAACACAGGCGGCAGTTTCTTAAGTGACTCCAAAGTGGTCTGCGGACGAGGATGTTCGTCTACTTCCACCTTCACTTCTTTCTTCTTTATCGTCAGAGTTACAGGTTCGATTTCAGCTTTGAACAGGCCGGCGTCGTTAGCTATTGAATAAAAGTTTTCGTGAATAAGAACCTAGGGGTTTATTCTCTTGCAGTGTTCGAGGCTAATTGTGACAAAGATATTCGAAAAACAATCCTAGTCGATAGAACAACGTGCACTTAAGCTGATGATCGTCACATACTTCCAATTTCTCGTGAATTGTAATTGCGTTTTTTATGGCTTGCTATTAAGGTGTATAATACAATGCAAATCGCTATGTTGGATCCCAATTCGCTTCGATCAACCAAAGAGCTCGAGTGAGCGTAAGAATTCTGATTCCAAGTCAAGGTATTTAAAAATAAACGTATATATTATAAGACCTTGGCTATGACGCTTACAAGAAACAGTAAACATGTGAGTTGATTTGTGTTTATAATGTAAAAAAGGTTTGACCTAAGCATCGGTTTAAAATGATTTTTTCTATATCCGCACATCAGGCAAATTCTACTTCAATACTCGACAAAAACGACAAGATTTGTCGGTGAAGCAGTCGTTATCTTTTAGAAATATGAAGGAAATTGATAATGTTATTATGTAACGCACTGCCCAATAGAACAATAAATTAAATATAAAATGTATGTACGCAGGTGATTTATGCGAAACGAGTTAATTTTCTTTCGGACTAACTTAAAAAGGAAAGGGTGCGTGTACTTATGTACGCGCGTAAGAAGTTATACTTCTTTGGCATTATTAAAAATAGTTTTTGATTGCATGCAAATAATTAATTACAATTAAATAATCAAAGACTGGAAAAGGAGTCATTATAGTCCATAAAGTTAAGTTTACATTTGAAATTTGAAATTGTTACATAAAAAATATTATTCTCTTACATTAAGTGTAACATAAATTCTATTATTATTCGAATGTTGTTTTTAAATTATGTCCAATGCCGTAGCATCTTCCGTGGGCAACTTCATTCTGTTATTTTTGTGTCACGGTGCGCGCGCATCGTAAAATGTCACTCTCATCAATTTTTCATAACGCGCCTAAAGAAGTATAACTTCAATAAGACATGTCTTTTTTAGATACTTTTGTATGATTTAAATTTGCTATAGGGTGTGACTATTTTCGGGACAAAACCAGCTGTTGGTAACTACAAAGTTTACTTGAATAAAGCTAACTGACCTGTCTTCCACTTCTGTTGTGACTTCAACGCGAAGTTATCGACCTCATCCCTGGTGATACCGAACTGGGCGCCCAATTTCTCCGCTGTCATACCCATGGGTAGACCACAGTATGAGTCAGTTAAGCCGGTCCATAAAGAATCTTCGAACGCAATGCTGGACCCAAGTGCAGTTCCAAATCTAACCCCACGTACAGTGAAGGGAGCTTGGGACATATTTTCGACGCCACCAGCGACGGATATATTAGCTGATCCTGTTAAGATATCCTAAGAAACAAGAATTTGATTTTTACCCGCAAATTTTAGTTAAAACATCTCGCGATTTCATCGTTGTGTACAAAATGTATAAATTTATTTATGTCTGCTGTCTGAACATATGAAATTAGTGTATTTTTAAAGAATTGATGTTGGTATTACAGCAAATTAGCGTTGGTACTTAATATCGCCAGTTCGCACGTGTTCTTTTAATAGGAAAAAACTTATTTTAGACTAGACAGTAAATAGGTATTACAATACCTTTATATTTTTACATTAAAATCGTCCTTCATATAACAGTAATACAGTGTAAGTTGTTAACAAATTTTTGTCATAGTTAATATATATATTTCAGTTTCATGTTTTGCAATATGTTTCAAGGTAACAAAGGGAGTTAAAATAGTTAATGATTCACGAATATAGTACATATTCAAACGCATGGTAATAAAGAAGCATAGCAAGTACATAAGTACAATATATAATATAACTTATTTTAAGATATGACAGTCAATTATTAAATAGATTGTTAAATGTTTATATTTTTATTATCATAACTTAAATATGTATTACTGGTACATATTGATCATCTAACATTACATATTTTCAGATCATATGCTACCTATATAATATATTATATATGGTTATATTTGTGTTTTATTATCTTGTTAATTTAGTTTCACACATTTTGGAATTATTATGTTTGCATGGGGATCTTTTTGTGATATCACTAGAGAATCATATATGCTTGAACATCAGTTTTTAATAAATAAAGAATTCAAAGATTTTAAGAATTATACTATTTACTACACAACATTATTTTAGACATTTTAAAGATTTTTATTAGATAAAATGTTTATGGATAAAGTCTACTTGCAAAATTATTTGATATAAAAGACATACCTACACATATTTTTAAATACTTCTATCACCAGCATTATTTTTAAAAATTATTTTTGTAGTTCAGTAATTTATAATTAATGTTAATACGCTGTTTATGTTAAACTATAATTATCTAATCACAGAGTTTGATTGTAATAAACTTTATGTAATATTATTCGGTTAAAATTAACTACTGCAGTTCTGGTAAGCTCTTCTAAGAACTCACTTTACTAGTTTGTTAATTTAAAAAAATCCTATTAAAATTATATGTAAATAAAATTACAAATGTTTCTTACCTGCGCACTATTAATAATTGATTGGAAACCAGATCCACAGAGCCTGTTAATACCCAATGCTGGTCGGTCTTGGGGAATACCAGCTTTAAGTGCTGCATGCCTTGGTGTGTAGATGCCATCAGCTTGAGTTGCCTGAGACAGAGATAAATTTAATTTTAAGTTTTTGTTCAGGTATTTCTATTTACATATAACTTAAAGATTTATGATTTTATGTTAGTTAATATGAATGTTAATGTTAACAATTTCAATAAAATTTTAGTATGTACCTGGCTCTCGACGTAAGGTCTAGAATATGCATTTTCAAATTAACAAAAACAGTGGGGTAAACTCTCATAATTTATATACACATACTGATATCAGACAAAAAATGTTCTTAAAAATTCAGAAAACGTAATATAGGGATACGTACGCTCATAACCTGACCCACAACAACTGAATCGACTTGGTCCGGGGCTACCCCCGCCTCTTTCAAGGCCGCGGTTACTGCTAAAGTCTGAAGTTCAGTTGCTGATGTGTTGCGAAAAACGCCGCCAAACGTACCAAAAGGAGTACGCTTGGCACCCACAATAAAAATTCCTGTAAATAAGAAGTTAAAAACAGTTAGATCAGTCTAGTCTATTTTAAAAAAATAAGCATTTTAATAAATAAGCATGTAAAATAATATTAAATAAATAGTTTACTTATTTCATATCGTTAACGCAGTAAAAAAACTAAAAAAAGGTTTTAGTAAAAGTTACAGATAAAAGTTTATTGGAATTTGACCCCATCCTCAATACACAATATACACGATGAATATATTAAATTAGGCGACGTTAAATTTAGGTAAATAATATTTACCTTTAACGGCAACAGACATTTTGTAGAAAGTATATATATTTAATTAAACTGATTTATTCTTAATAAAAAATATGTACGGCAAGCAACGAGACGACCACAGTACCACCACGACAGTACACTGAGAGTCCATTCAGTTCACGAATTCGAAATTTAATTTTACAGATATTATCTTCACAAATTAGTAAACTTCGGAATTAACCACAGATTTATAATTGTTCCAGCTCATTGTTCAAATGTTAAAAAAAACGTAAGTTGAATAATTATGTATATATAACTGGCAAATGGCAAAGTGGCAACCTTTAACTACCCAGTCAAAATTGTTGTGAACTAATAAGTAATAACTGTTATTTGTCAAGTCAACCTAATAATACGTATTCGTAATTTCAGCTAACAGCCTACAGCGATTGAGCGATCACAGTACCTGTCACGGTTCTCGAAATCTTCAGTGAATTCCAAAGGTAATTTATTTTTGGCGTTTAGAATAGGATATACTATTTTTTAGGCTATCAATGTGTAAATAATGCTTATGCAATGAGCGATGGTCCTGTCGTCAGTGGTCAACTAAAGAAATTTGTATTTCGTGGAAAATCCCTCAACAACGGGGACACTCGAGGTGATTATTTGGAAATAGTAATACCCGAACTGTTATCTGCGGGCTATTCATTCTACACGTGGCCGTCTGCTCCGCTATTAGCTTGGTACCTGTGGAGTCAGCGAAAAAATCTACGTGGACTACGAATATTGGAACTTGGTTGCGGAACTGGACTGCCCGGTATTTTAGCTGCAAAGTGTGGTGCTCACGTGACTCTCACAGACAGCGTTGCTCTCCCGCGATCGCTGCATCACTTATCGGGTTGCTGTGAAGCAAATGGTCTTATTCCAGGTCGTGATGTTCAAATATTAGGGCTAGCTTGGGGACTATTTTTAGCTGATGTGCACAACTTACGTCCAGTAGACTTAATATTAGCTTCAGACTGTTTTTACGAACCCTCACAATTTGAAGAGGTATTATCTACCGTTGCCTTTTTGCTTGACGGTACTGACTCTAGATTTTTGTGTGCTTACCAGGAGCGGAGCACGGACTGGTCCATTGAGGCTCTTCTGCAGAAGTGGGGCTTAAAAGGCGCATTACTCGACTTGGATTCCTTAAGTGAAAGTTCTGGTATAGATTATAGAGCACTAGTTGGTGATCGTTCTTTACATTTACTGGAAATTGTTGCAGTGTAGGTTATGGCAAGCACAGCTAGAGCAGTACGCCTATTTATCGGCAACTTGCCATGGACTGTTGGCCATCGCCAATTAAGAGAATACTTTTCCCAGTTTGGCCCAGTGCAAAGTGCCAGAGTAGTTTTTGATCGCTCGACAGGATTGAGCAAAGGTTATGGTTTTATCGAATTTGTGAGTTCAGCTGATGCTGCCAATGCAACAAATAAGCAAGTACACACACTAGAAGGTCTAAATTTGACTGTCCAGATTAATAAAGAATAATGGCAGAGGCACTACCTGAATATCCTGACTCTGATTTCTCGGAAGATGATCAGTCTCCCTTAGAAGTTTCATTTAATAAAGCATCTGATCATGTAAGAAAAATTACTACTAAACTAAATAACAATCAACTATTAGAATTATATGGTTTATATAAGCAAAGTACCGAGGGTAAATGCAACATACCAAGGCCAGGATGGTTAGATGGAAAGGGCCGCAAAAAATGGGAAGCATGGAGATCCCTTGTTGATATGCCTAGTGATGAAGCAAAGCAAAAATATATTGACTTGGTGCAAAAGTATGATCCTGAATGTGAACTAGTGGAAGAAGCTGTGCCTAAGCAGCAGTGGGTAGCTGTATCATCTTTGCAACGTTCACCTGAACCAGACCTATCACATGATGAGTTATCTCTACTTGATGCAGCTAGAGAAAACATGGGGGAATTAGTGTCAAAGTTAATTTCAAAGAATCCTGCTATCAAGGCTCAAAGAGATAAAGATGGTCTTACTGCTTTGCACTGGGCAGCGGATAGAAATGCAACATCAGCATTAGAAGCTGCTATTCAATCAGGTTGTGACATAAATGCAATGGACAATTCTGGACAAACAGCATTACATTATGCAGCATCATGTGGGCATGTAAATTCCACACAAATTTTAATTAAAGCAGGAGCAAAACTATTTAAAGATGAGGATGACTGTTCACCATTAGACTTAGCAGCTGATGAGGAAATCAGGAATATTCTAAGTGCTTAGTAGCATTTACCAATTTTTAGTTTTATTTCTATATTTGTAGATAGTGGTTAATTAAAGCAAATTTCATTAGAGAAACTTTTATTTTTCCCTTACATTGTACAATACAATTATGAGGCAATGAATTCAGAATATTAAAATGTAATAAAAAAGCCTTATTATAATTTTACAGTGACAATTTTTAAAAACAATTTGTACTGAGGTGCAACCTGTAAACCATACCATAATTAGCTGTTAATTACAATTGAGGTTATTGTTGAAAATAAATTAGAACAAGTATTCAAATATACATTATTTATAAAAAAATAGTATTTTTTTTTATAATTTCAATGTATCTTAAGACTAATAAACTGAAATAGGGCTAGATTCAGAAAATATAATCAGACTGCTTTTAATTTGTAGAATGTTAGCCTTACCCTTGTTTACATAGAAGATAATTTAATCTGTAAACAAAGTTCATTAAATATGACTAATTTTCTAAATTTGAAGATTCAATAGAATTTAAAATTAACACCAGTACCATTGTATAGTAGTATAGGCTTTATTTATGAAAAAAAAAATCTGTTTAAAAATATAATATTCTCATGACATATTTTTCTATGAGGTGTAAAAAGTTGTCTTTTGCCACAGGCTTGTCTCTTAAGTCTAGTTACAACTAAATTAATAATAAATTGACAATACAGCATAAAGTCTCTTAACACTGAGATGAACCTGCCAGTGTGAATAAAAACAGTAAAACATTTGCCATGTTTTTTCAGTCTTCTGTTGGTATACACATGTAAAATGCTATTCTTTTTCTTTATGCTCGCCAGAGTCCAATTGTTTAAGTAATCTAAACAGTGCCGCCGCTTCGCGAATTCTACTAAACTCGACGCAAAATGCTTCTACTTCAATAAATAATTCCTAGAATGGTAAAAAAATACGTAAATATTCAATTATATATAGATTTTGAAAAATTTATTTCATTATGAACAATGCATAAGAAAATTTAACACAATAAAGCTAGGCTTTAATTAAAATGTTATCAAATGTTGACGATTAAACTATATGGTCAGCTAAAGCCCATTATTTCAATCAATTTACGATCAGGGAGCGTTCAAGTATTACGTAACGAATTTGGGGGGGGGTCCTTTTGTAAAACGTTACGATGCGGGGCGGGGATTACTAGTACTTTACACCTCATAATGGTAACATTTAGGTATAAAGAGTCACTGGGTGGTCGAGAAACGCATTACTATTGGATACAGAAAAACGTTACGGCGCGTTACATGGGGGTGGGTCAATAATCTCCAAAAATTGCGTAACGTAATACTTGAACGCTCCCTCAAAGCCTGTACACAATATTATCAAGTTTTTCACAAATGTTTTTATTTTGACGTTTAGGTACCATAATGGTAGCATGTTTATTTGAAGAAAAAAATGAACCAGTCACGTTACAACCGCTTTATCTTGGCTGCAGGTTTCAAGTGATTAGCCTTCCGTGTCTGACACACGCCATCGATTTGGGAATGCATACCGGTTTTCTATGGTTTGCTTCCCCATGCACACAGTTCCCTCTTAGTGTTGTTATAACGATTTATAATAATTTATCATACAGTGTTATTAATAGATTTTACCTTAACATTTATAATCTTGTTCCTAATCAATGACTGCAAGAAAACGCATACTAGTCTCACGAGCCGGTTTTGCATGTATCTATCTCGTATAGTTTCACACGTCGATATACAGTTGCTAATATAAAGGTGAACAAACTCAACTGGCAGATCTACTGATGTTGTTAATCTGTGGAAAAAAAACAATATTAAGAATTTTATATAGATAACTAGCTGCCCCCGCGAACTTCGTTTCTCCTTACCGGTTCCCCACCCGGACCGGCAATCTGCCCGCCGTAAATCTGCCGGAAGAGCTAGTGGCTGTACAATTTATATGAAGCTATTCACATTATCCGGGTCGGCATTTTGCCGAGCCGGCATTTCTACCGAACGTTTTGTCACTACGAATTGCCGGTAGAACACCGGGCCCGGAGTAATGTGAACGAGTTTTGCCGGTATCTGTCCCCCGCTCGCCCTGCTCTGCTCCCCTCCCCCGCCCGTGTTCCACTCACGTCATTCGGCTCGCATGTTCTGGTAAAAGTAGACTTTAGCATGGATATTCAAGCAGAAACTTTAATTACGCTTGTCCAAGAGAGACCTGTTCTTGGGATAAGACCAAGACGTTTATAAAGACAAAAACTTAAAGTTAGCAGCAGGCGTGAAGTATGTTTAATACTGAAACCAAACTTCGATGAACTGATGAAAAAGAAAGAAAACAGTACGGTGAGTTTTTAATGTTTTATTGATAAAATGTAAATGCATTGATAAATTTTATTTTATAGCTCTCCTCACGGAACAATATCTGAAACAAAATAATTAGTAAATGATGTCCGTATAGCGTTGGCATTAGGGCCACCTCGACTCGACACATTTCGATTCATGGGTGTAGTTTCTTGTTCTTGTCTATGTTCTATATTTTGGTAACTTTCAAAATTTATACCATCTTTTTCTCTTACAAAATTATGTAAGACCCACAAGCTTTAATTACTTGAATTGCTGTGTCTACGTTGAGATCTATAGCTCGATGGATTATTCGCCACTTATTTGCCAGAATACCAAACGCACTCAACATACCTTCTTGCTCGACTTAGTCTATAGTTAAAAATCTTTTTATCAGTATTCAAATGTGTACCTCCATATGGACTAGAGATTAGGTGTTAAAGCAAAGCCTTCATCGCCAACAAGTATAAACGGTAATTCTTCGTGCAAGTTTTCATGAAGCGGTCTAGGCTTTGGTACATTTAAAGTACCATCATTGATCTTTTGCCAAAATGTACTATCCTTTAATATACTAGAATCGCATTCCTTGCCAAATGAGCCCACACTAATAAAAATAAATCGGTACTCTAATCGACAACTGCCATTAATACAAAAGAATAATACTCCTTGTAATTAAAGAACATAGAACCACTCTTGGCTGGTTTCAAAATTCTGATATGTTTGCCATCTACTGCTCCAAGACAGTGAGGAAAGTTGGCTTTTCTTTCGAATCCTAAGGAGTCCTCCCATTCTCTCTAGTATCAGGCAGCTTAAGGAAATCTGTTTTAGGTTTTCCCAAATGACGTGGATCATTTCTTTTATTTAGTTTTACTTATTGTCGAAAGGCCTACTCTGTATGAGTAATTATTTCTTTGAATGAACATCCTGAAGCTAAATATCTGAAAAAAAAAGTATTTTTTGTTATACATTATTACTTTATACGTCACCAAAACAAATTGTATTGTTTTATGATATTTTTTATTGATTTCAAAAACAGGTTTCCTAATGAATATTACAGATTCTCTTAGACAGTAAAGAAACAAAAGATGATCTAAATCTATCTTCACCAAAAACCAAATTATTTATATCACGAGCAATTAATGTTTTTGAAAAAATCTCAACCCACCACCACATATCTTCAAAAAAAAGAACCGAGACTAAGTAGGCTGGAATCAGATTTTCGTTCACCTTTAATTAAAGATAAAAAAAAATTGATAATAAAGAGGTAAATGACAGATGGTAAAGTTTTTGATCAATAAACCCAGAAAAGGAAAACTCTCTATCTTTCTTCAAAGGCATTATACCAATCTTAACACTTTAACTATCAAGAGACTTTAAATTTCAAGCTACGTCATGACAATGTTGCAAAAATTAAAAGTAGGAATTATGAGAGACCAATTACGGACTGCGATTCTTATCATCCACCATCATTTCTGATACTCACACATAATACTCAATCAACACCAATACCTACCAAGATCAACACTACCCTGATACTCTACGCAATATAATAGTAGCAATCAACAGGCAACAACATCTATACCATCAACTTCATCTCAGACTCGAATCCGATTCCAGCTTCCCTCAGCTCTAGTATCGTTCCATACATTCCCAAGCCCCTCAGATTACTTAGATTTTGAAGGGATTTCAAGTTTGAGTACAAATAAATACTTAAATAATTGTTTGCATTTTTAATTCATAATGATTATCAAATACATACACCCTCCCACACACACACTTATATATATTCACATTCATGAAACAAACATACATAGCAAACATTCATTCATTCATACAGTCTTAAGTAGGTACCTACGTCAAAACTATTATTACGCAATCTAGTGCATAAAATAAATTTTACCTTAGACATATGGCTAACTCTTTGTTCTGGGCAAATACATTCTCTGAAACTTGTATCTCGTACTCTTATGTCTAGTCGTCCCAGTAAATCGTCAAAAGTGGTTGCTGTCATTCGAAAATAATTGAAGAACTTTGATTCGTCTCTTCTAAGTTCACCCATTAATGTTTCAAATGTTCCAAGTGAAAATCTTTCCCGTAAAATAGGGTGTACCCAATGTTTTCTTTTATTTTGCCTTTCTATTAAGATACCACCACAACACAACAATTTCGTCGTCCATTGTGCGCGCAGGTCCAAATTCAACTGAGGACTGTCTGAATTTCTTCCGGGATCCGATGTAATGTGAACACTCTGTCCGGTGTCCGGTTTTCGGCAGATCTGCCGGTCCGGCGTAGTGGAGAACCCCGGCCTTAATGTGATTTTACTTAGCCTACCTATTTAGTACATACCAACATGGAACATTTCGCTATGCTACCCCAGAGACTGTTCGGTTTTCTGGAATGAAAACTTTTTAGGTTTTTCTGTTTATTTATTTTTTCTTCCAAATGGACGTGGAAGAGGCTATTATTTTGTGGTTATATTATAAAGTAAAAAATAGAAAAAGAAAACGTACAAATTGGGTTCATCCAATTTTGAAAAATAGACCCAGTTTGTTATAAATATAATTACGAAAATTAACAAAACTACATGCGATCGCGATGAAAGCGCGCGCTCATCTGAACAGCAAACGGACATTACATTAATATCAAAGCGCGCGGCAACGCGCGATCACCTGCGTCTAGAGACTTTTTCTC